AACCCTTCAAAATCCCTCTTGTGGACACAATCTGGCCACAATTTTCTCCAAGCAGAGTTCAAAGTCCTGGTAGTCACTCCCTCCCAAGCCTTACTTATAAGGCTTATGTAATGGAGGATACTGAAGTGTTCTCTCCAAAAATCTCTTAGGATCAAGTAAGTGTCTGAGGTCACATACTAATAACATAGAAACATGGAATATACTCTAGAATGAATAAAGTAAGTCATTATGTATGTCACGAGGTGTTGTGTTGTGTTTGTTGTTGGGTGTATAAGGGCCACTGAGAATAAGCCATCCATAATGGTGGTGAAACAGCAGCTGAGGCGGTGGTGTTTTCTATAGCCCTATATAACTCCAACAACATAGGAGGAGTTAGTAGAATTGCTGAATCACTGAAGAAGGCACCCTCTACCACCATCACAACCACTACCACCTTCTACCACTATTACAACTGCTACCACCATCACTACCACCTTCTACCACTATTACAACTGCTACCACCATTACTACCACCTTCTACCACCATCAACCACTATCACAACTGCTTCCACTCTACCACCACCACCTTCGTATTTTTCTACAAAGTTTTTCTTAAATTGTGTGTGTTTCTCACATTCTTTACCAAAGGGCTGGCGCTAGGTTTCTTTGGAGCCATGGCGACTTATTTAGCAGTTGCAAGCACTAAAACGAATGGAATATTATGAAATGTATCGTATGAACTAGTGGGATCATCCTCATTCAATGATAAACAATGGCACACTGGCTGGGAATGGAGTGTGAGGCGACTCGGGGTTATGTGTACATGTCCCAAACAAACGACGATTAGCGAGTCAATGGACCATTTGCGAGCCAATGTTTGGACAAAATAACGCAACGATTTCCGAAAAGGACGACTATCGAGCCGGACTATTATCAAGGGACCACTGTATTTGGAAGTGGACTTGTCAGCAGGTGGGTCTATGAAAGATGAGGTGAATCAGAGAATTGATGAGGGAAAAAAAAGGCGAGTGGCACACTGAGGAGTCTGTGGAAACAAAGAACGTTATCCATTGGGGGAAAAGAAGGAAATGTATGAGAGTATAGCTGTACCAATGCTCTTATATGGGTGAAGCATGGGTGGTGAATGTTGCAACAAGGAGAAGGCTCGAGGCAGTGGAAATGTAGTGTCTGAGGGAAATGTGCAGTGTGAATATAATGCAGAGAATCCATAGTCTGGAAATTAGGAGGAGGTGCAGGGTTACTGAAAGTATTATCCAGAGGGCTGAGAAGGGGTTGTTGAGGTGGTTCAGACATTTAGAGAGGATGGAATGAAATAGAATGATTTGTAAAGTGTATAAATCTGTAGTGGAATTAAGGCAAAGTAGGAAAAGGTGGGAGGTTGGGGGTAAAGAAGGTTTTGTGTACGAGAGGCTTTAACTTCCAGCAGGCATGCGCGAGCGTGTTAGATAGGAGCGAGTGGAGACAAATGGTTATGACTTGATGTGCTGTTGGAGTGTGAACAAGGTAACATTTATGAAGGGATTCAGGGAAGTCAGCAAGCTAGACTTAAGTCCTGGAGGTGGAAAGTACAGTGCCTGCACTCTGAAGGAGGGGTGCTTACACTAGTTTTATAACTGTAGTGTAAGCACGCCTCTGGCAAGACAGTGACAGAGTGAATGATGATGAAAGTGTTTCTTCCTTTTTGGGCCACCCTGCTTTGGTGGCTAACGGCCAATATGTCAATAAAATAAAAAATATTAAACCTTAGAACATCACTATTTCCTCAACAATTCTTCAAGTTTAAACAAAATAACCTTGACGGTTGGAACACTTGGCAATGTGTTGAGGTCAGACTATGGAGGGTCATAAAAGCATGTGACCTCCATGGAAAAAGTCTGATATGGCACTATGTGGCCTGGGGGACACGTCAAGTTTCTGCTCTAAACTGAAGCCATCATGATGTAGGGAGCTGAACAGTAATGACTGGCCTAGAAAGAAGTAGGGTATAGAAAACATATTTACAGGCTGTCCATACTTTATACTCAACTAATAAGCTAAAACAGCCCCACACCCATGTTTCCATTAGTATCAAGTAGTGTTAGTCCTAGCTTAAATCTGCCTAAAATGCTGTGCATACTATATATATAGGCTCTTCATTAAAATGTATCACCGTTCCACTTTTTTTGAAAATATATTGAACTGTATTGTAATACATGCCAAACACTGGAAATAATTCTGAGACATTGCAAATTACACATTTCTTGACTTATGTCCAATTAAAAAATCAGCTAACCACTCATGCACCAAATAGTCACACCTAAAAAAAAATTAATATGGTCAAAAACTTAGGAAAAATTAAATTCAAAATTGAAACAATCCTTATACAATATAAAAGTGGGATAAGAAATCCACATTTCTTTACTAATTTTTTCAAAAAGATCATGAGCATACTAGTTATAGTATATCAAAAAGTAAATACAACTGGTGAAAAGCAAATAAGGAAAGATTCAATTCAAACTTCAATCATAATAACCCACGCACAAGTTGGGATTGAACTCGCGGCTAGAGTCGTAAAACTTCAGTTTTACGACTCACTAGCCGCGAGTTCAATCCCTGCTCATACTGTGGTTTGTTTGCAATCATGTCATCGTGATTTCATGAGTCAGTTTAATCATAATCCTTCTTTCTTTTATCCTCCCTCCCTCCCTTCCCCTACCAACCATCTAGCTTGTTTTTACCTGGACTGAAGTGAACCCATTATGAACCTGTCAATACATATTTCCCTACAACTCTTTCCTCCCTCCCTCCCTCCCTCTCTATCTCTACCCCTAGTCTCAACTTCGTGATGGAGCAACCCAACTTCATCTGGCTGTGTCCATTTTCTTTTGACAAGCCCCAAGACATTTAAATTGAAACCAAAAATAAGATTTATTTCAAAATATGCACATTGGCTTTCCCCATATGAAGATTACTGTTTTCTCATGAATTTCAATAAAAACCAATTGAGTGATATTTCAAGAGATACCGTTAAAAAATCAAGTGGTATTAGACTTAGGTGATTGAATAAAAGAAAATTTATACCACACAGAGAATTATTAGTAGATATAGTGCCACATATAAGAAAATTTGCATCAAGGGAAACCTATATCTACCCTTGAATTTTTTCACCATATGCAATATTTTGTTTATTATTCATATATGTATACATGTGCTGAGCTCACATTTATTTAGCAAAGAAGGGCTAAGAACTGGTCATAAAAAACACAAGATTTTTTAGATGGTGTTCTCGTGTAGCATATAAGTGGGTGAGGCAGGTACTCCACTTAAACTACCACCCTCCCTCCTCCCAACCCAGGCACAGTGTGGGTTATGCTCATGTTTACTATTGCTGACATCTCCAGAAAGCATAAAAGTAGTATGCAAAGTATGAATTAGATAGCTGTCTCAATACACCCCAAACAAAATTAAATATTGGGGGGTAAATTGAGAGAGTTTTTGGCTATGCCTTACTCCTTTAGTAGTGCAAATATTTACCTGACTGAATTTCTTAAAACTATAACCTTATAAGAAACTACACACAAAATATGAGCCATTTAACTTCAAAAGTAAATGCTTTAGATTAAAATGAGTAAAAAAAGTAGCACTAACAGGCAAAACATTTTACAAATCCACAGTTGCATAACTTTTATTTTTTCAGGTATTAATCTTCGGCAAGAGGCGTGGAGTTAAAAGATAAAGAATCACACACAAAGTGGGAGTTGTCACAGCTGCTCTTTGCTGATGACACTGTGCTCTTGGGAGATTCTGAAGAGAAGTTGCAGAGATTGGTGGATGAATTTGGTAGGGTGTGCAAAAGAAGAAAATTAAAGGTGAATACAGGAAAGAGTAAGGTTATGAGGATAACAAAAAGATTAGGTGATGAAAGATTGAATATCAGATTGGAGGGAGAGAGTATGGAGGAGGTGAACGTATTCAGATATTTGGGAGTGGACGTGTCAGCAGATGGGTCTATGAAAGATGAGGTGAATCATAGAATTGATGAGGGAAAAAGAGTGAGTGGTGCACTTAGGAGCTGTGGAGACAAAGAACTTTGTCCTTGGAGGCAAAGAGGGGAATGTATGAGAGTATAGTTTTACCAACGCTCTTATATGGGTGTGAAGCGTGGGTGATGAATGTTGCAGCGAGGAGAAGGCTGGAGGCAGTGGAGATGTCATGTCTGAGGGCAATGTGTGGTGTGAATATAATGCAGAGAATTCGTAGTTTGGAAGTTAGGAGGAGGTGCGGGATTACCAAAACTGTTGTCCAGAGGGCTGAGGAAGGGTTGTTGAGGTGGTTCGGACATGTAGAGAGAATGGAGCGAAACAGAATGACTTCAAGAGTGTATCAGTCTGTAGTGGAAGGAAGGCGGGGTAGGGGTCGGCCTAGGAAGGGTTGGAGGGAGGGGGTAAAGGAGGTTTTGTGTGCGAGGGGCTTGGACTTCCAGCAGGCATGCGTGAGCGTGTTTGATAGGAGTGAATGGAGACAAATGGTTTTTAATACTTGACGTGCTGTTGGAGTGTGAGCAAAGTAACATTTATGAAGGGATTCAGGGAAACCGGCAGGCCGGACTTGAGTCCTGGAGATGGGAAGTACAGTGCCTGCACTCTGAAGGAGGGGTGTTAATGTTGCAGTTTAAAAACTGTAGTGTAAAGCACCCTTCTGGCAAGACAGTGATGGAGTGAATGATGGTGAAAGTTTTTCTTTTTCGGGCCACCCTGCCTTGGTGGGAATCGGCCGGTGTGATAATAAATAAAATAAATAATTAATCTTCCTTCTATTAAAATACTTATGATATAAATTTTAAGAGTAAATGAGTGAGCTTTGAGGTCAAATTAAAAAAAAAAAAAAAGATTCAATAAAACAACGGAAAAGCCAGTGTCTCAAATCATCCATCTCAAGTGTCTCGATTCACCGCCACCCAACCTTTATATAAATGATCTTTGAAACAAGTTAGAGGAAGAAAGGTTGACAGTCATCTTTACCTCGTATTTTCCTCTTTGTTCTTCTTTTATTTGTTCCAAAAGGAGTAATTTTGCCCAAACAACTCCCCGAAATCTATCCGGAATCCCTTTGTATATTCTTTTGATGAATTTGTCCTTGTCCCAATACTTATCCCAGCTTTTAATCATCTTTAGCCACTTGGGGATCCGAGAGAGCTCTATTTCCAGCCTCTTTTCCTCTTCCTTTGAACGAGACTGGGGTAATCTTGTGTCACTGCCAGGAATGATACAAAAGATTAGCCAAAAAATTTTTAGTAATGACATACCATTCATAACTGACAAAAACACAAGATAAAATATAATATGAATGACATTATCATGACTTAATATGAAAATGAAGACTGCCGTACACTACAGATCTATATATTTCTTAAAAATGAATTGCCATTTCAGTACACTTATGACAGAACAACAATGCAGTACTGATAACAAAAAAATGGCACTTTAATGCAAGATATTTTTCTGTATTTGAAGCCTTGGAGTAATCACTTGGAATGTGATGTACCTTAATCAAATTCAAAGAGATATACATACTTAATTCACATATAAGGAACCTAATTCAACATTTGCACAACATGGGAGGTAATCAAGTTTGATCCAAGAGAAAAATAGCTCTAATTCTTTGGATCAAGAGCCCTCCACCAGCAACAAGGCACCTACCCTGAATATTAATGATGGGAGGAAGTATAAAATAAACCCAGTGAGGAGCAGGGGTGTAATGGGGACAATAAGAGAACACTGTATAAACATTCGTGGTCCCAGACTATTCAACATCTTACCAGAAGATATCAGAAACACGGCAGGAACAAGTGTAGAAGCCTTCAGGAGAAAACTGGACAAGTATCTTCACCAGGTGCCAGATCAACCAGGCTGTGATGGATATATGGGGCAGCAGGCTTCCAGCAGCAACAGCCTGGTTGACCAGGCAAGCACCAGACGAGCCTGGCCCATGGCCGGGCTCCAAGACTAGTGAAAGTCTCAAAACTCTTCAAAAGGTATATCAAAGGTAAAGGTATGCAGCTCTTGAATACACTTGTTGAAGAAATCACTTCTTGTACCAAAGTGAAGCAGGAGACACACCAAGACCCAGGAATGTGCAGAAAGGCAAAAAATAAAAAAAAAAGATGCAGGAAAAATATATAAAGGTACAAAAGAGGGGCAAGAAAGATAGTGAATATTTATGGCCACTGTATTGATGGTTAGCTGTGAAATGTTCCAGCCATAGAACTGTTGCCTAGTAGGGACTGTACAGCTCTGGGGAGATGGAGGCAATCAGTTTCAATTCAAGGAGTGAACAGGCCAGTTCTTTCAAACAAAAGCCCTTCACCAACATCAAGGGGTGCAGACTATTCCACCTATGGTATTGTTGGCTAGTTGAGAATTGTTCCAACCAAGGTATTGTTTGTTAGCTGTGAAATGTTCCAGCCATGCTAATGTGCGTTACTTGAGAATTATTCCAGTAACAATATTCATTATACACTTGCCTCATGTCCTTCATCCATTCATTTTTGTTGGCAAGACAAAAGGTATGAAATATAGTAATATTATAAGTATCGAGACAAATGTTTAAAAGATTATTGTACAGAGAAAATCTAGTAACAATAAATGCAATGGAACTAGAATATACTCAGGTAAAAGAACACAAGTACAACTAATGTGACATTTTATTGTGGCAATGTTTCATCACTCAAAATGTCACATTAGTTGCACTTAGTTCTTTTACCTAACATATTGTCGGTAATCCTACCAACCTTATTTATTTATTTATTTATTTATTTAGTAATTTTAGCATACATATAGAGGTACAAAAAAAATACAGGTAAGAGCAGCATGCCAAAGCCACTTATATGCATAGCATTACGGGCTGGCTTAAAATTAACTTAAGATTAACTAAGCAATGATGAAATCAGTGATAAAACATTATTGTAAACAGATAACTATAAAGCACAAATGAGTATTACAAAGACAGGTCATATGGTTGCATGCATTGCTGTACATTCAGCCGAATGGAGTATTCTGTTAGGTAGTGTATTTAAAAAAATAACAAAGTTAGATTGGGTCCTAGGTTTAACATTTGTGTGATATAATTGTGAGTAACATATAGGATATACAATTTATAAGGTTCAGTTATTCAGTATTTATTTGGTTTTGAGTGAGTAAGTGATCTTTGAGAAGAGACTTGAATTTATAAACAGGTAGTGTTTCTTTTATATTTACAGGTAATGAATTCCAGATTTTAGGGCCTTTTATGTGCATTGAGTTTTTGCATAGCGTGAGATGGACACGAGGAACATCAAAGAGTGATCTGTGCCTTGTGTTATGGTCATGTGTTCTGTTGAGGTTGGCAAGATGTTTGAGGGGAGGGTTAATATCAGAGTTAAGTGTTCTATGTATGTAATAGGTGCAGTAATAAGTATGGATGTTTGTATGGTGAGTAGGTTGAGTGTTTTGAATATTGGTGGAGTGTGCTGCCTGTAGTGAGAATTTGTTATCATTCTAACTGCAGCCTTTGTTGGGTAATTAGTGGTCTGAGATGGTTAATTGTTGTTGAGCCCCATGCACAAATTCCATAGGTGAGATAGGGGTAAATAAGAGAGTGATAAAGGGCCAGGAGGGCTGACTGTAGAACATAGTACCGTATCTTCGATAGTATGCCTACAGTCTTGGAAATTTTCTTAGAAATTTGTTGTATATGTGTATGAAATTTGAGTCTATTATCAAGGTGGATTCTTAAGAATTTTCCCTCTGTTAGCTTTGTGATAGGTGATCTGTTTATCGTTATGTTAAGAGGTACATCTGTAGCTCTGTTACTAAACTGAATGAAGTAGGTTTTGTCAATGTTTAGCGTAAGTTTGTTAGTCCTCATCCAGGTAGATATTTTCTGTAATTCGGTGTTTACAGTATTGGCTAGCGTGACTGGGCTCGGGTTGAGAGAAGACGTATGTAATGTCATCTGCAAAAAGTGTGGGTTGAGTAATTGCGAAGCATTTGGTAGGTCATTTATGTATAGGAGAAAGAGAAGAGGGCCAAGGACACTTCCCTGTGGGACACCAACTGTAATTGGTTGAGCGGAAGAGCTTGCCCCATTTGTGTACACATATTGGCTTCTGTTGCTGAGGTATGACTTGAGGTAGTTGAGAGAGTGCCCTCTAATACCATAGTGTGACAATTTTACGTGGAGCAAGTCATGGTCAACTGTATCAAAAGCTTTACGTAAGTCAATGAAGATCCCCAGTGGGACTTCTTTTTTCTCTATTGCAGTGTATATATGTTCTAGCATGTGTATAGTAGCACCATTAGTATTTTTATTAGGCCTGAATCCAAATTGCAGGGTTGAGAATGTTTTGGGAGATGAGGTAGGAGTAGATTCATTTATGAATTAATTTTTCGAAGATTTTTGAGAGAGGGTGTAAATTGGATATTGGCCTATAGTTATTCAACTCTGTTTGGTCTCCTCCTTTATGGATCAGGGTGACCCTTGCTATTTTGAGAGCTGTAGGGAAGGTGGAGGATTCAATGGATTTGTTAAAGATGTTTGCAATGATTGGTGATAGTACCTGTGACACTTTTTTGTATATAAAGGGTGGTAAGGTATTTAAATCTCCTGCCTCGTTTTTTTAGTGCGTTGATAATAAGGGAGACTTCGTATGGGTTAGTCGGAGCTAGGAACAGTGTGTTCGGGTAGTTGCCAGTGAGGTAGTCATTTGTGGGGTATCTGAGCTTGGAATTTTATTGGCAAGGTTTTGTCCTATAGTGGAGAAGAAATCATTGAGTCTGTTTGCTGTTTCTGTTGGTGGGAGTTGGGGTTCATCTGATTTTGCTAATTTTATTTCGCTATTTCGTGATATCTTTTTTGTTCCCAGAATTTCTGATAGGGTCTTCCAGGTCTTTTTTATATCACCTCGTAAGTTGGATAATCTGTTCTCATAATACAGTTTTTTTGCCCTTCTTATCAGGCTGGTTAGGATTGACGAGTAACGTTTTGTTGGTCTCTGGTTATGTGACCCATTCTGTACTGTTTTTCATATCGGTGTTTGAATTTATGGATTTGAGAATGCTGGGTGTAGCCAGGGACTGTTCAGTCTCTTAGCTGTCATCTGTTTATTTTTTTTTAGGGCAGTGCTTGTTATGAGGTATTGGGTCTTTTTTAGAAAATTATTAAAACATTCGTCAATATCTGTATAGATTTCTAGCTCAGTGTGCCAGTCAATGTTTGTTACTGCTGTTGTGAAGTTATTAATGGCTGCCTCATTGTGAAGTCTGAAGGTGACTTTAGTAGTGTCTTGGGGTATTTTACCAAGAGTTGTTATGAGGAAAGTAGGGTAGTGGTCTGTGGTATTATCTGTAATTATGCCTGATTTTAAAGGGGATATGGTGTTGGTCCAGATGTGGTCAAGTAGGGAAACACTAGTCTCCGTAATATATTCAGCAGGGAATTCTATTTATTTTAATCAGGAGGAACGCTAAAACCATAGGAATGGGACGCACTCAGGTTTGATTTAAGAAACCAAACCCAAGAATAAGTAAAGGTCCTTGGATCAAAAGCTCCTCATTGACATCAAGGTATTATGGGGATTCAACAGGGAAGAAAATATATTAAAATGCATTGCCAACGGATTAAGTGTACTTTAGGGGAAGAGCTCAACCTATTTACGTCATTCAGTGAAAGAAGTGTTGGGAGCTTGATCCTTTGTCCACTAATAGTGAGACAGACACACTACCTAGTTCTACTCTTCTAGTTGTATGTTATGTACCTAGGCTTGCTAGTTTGAAGCAACTAGATTTTAAATGACAATTTACAGTATAATGGCCAAAAACAACCCATTAACAAAATAATTTAATAAACGAAATATACAGGTTAAATTTAAGACCTAAACATATCACACCATTTATAACACTTCTCATTCATGCAAAACTCACTGTATAAATCCATATCTGTCTGTGGAATGATAAACCTCGAACTCTGGATCTTCCCAAGGGTCTATGACCGCTCCTTCTTCGCGGCCAAGGTTGTATCGCCCAACTATTGTTGCACGTTCCTCTCGTGCCCGGATGAGCAGCTCCTCCTCGCTCAATCCTACAAGAAAGATATTTTTTACAAAAACAAAAAAATTATTGCAACATAATTATTGTTTATGAATTAAAAAATACATCAGCTGTTTCCAACAAAGGGTGACCCAAGGAAGGAAAATTCATTCATTACTCAATCTCTTGCTGTCTTACCAGATGAGAATGAATGTCACAATTCCAACAAGCCACTGAAATGTAACATCTCCCCCAATGCAGGCAGTGTACTTCCTACCTCTAGAACTGAATCCTCCAGATCAGGGGTCCCCAACCTGTGGCCCTCCAAGGAAATGGATGTGGCCTTCACATGAGATTATGAATTCACTTTTATGTAGGTTCTACACTGCACAGTATCAACAAAACCATGTGGCCCTCATCATACATCTAACCATCCAATGTAGCCCACTTGTGTAGGAAGAGTGAAGACCACTGCTCTAGATATGATGAGAAATATTTCAATTGATCTTCATGAGTAATTAATAATTCATATGTATTTAAAACAAATGAGATGAATAATAATATGTACTGTAAAGCCTTACAAGAAACTTTTGATAAACTGAGAAAATACACTTATAAATTATGAAAGCACTCAATGAAGGCAAGCTCAACTTTAATGATAACTGAATATAATTTCAAACACTGATAAATACTGAAATGAAGTCAGGATTTGATACAAAGAATATTAAAGGAGTTAGAGAAATGACAGTAACTGTGATAAGAGAGGCACAAAGAATGTTAAGAAGGGAAAGGAATGTGTGGATGAAGTGTGTTTACATCGAAGCACGTGAGTGAGCAATACCGAGATAAGAGTAATGAGTTGTTTGGTGCATTCATGAATCTGGAAAAGGCATATGATAGGGTGAATAGGAAACTGATAGAGCAGGTGTTGCAAACTTATGAAATAGGTGGTGAGTTGTTAACCCTTTGAGGGTCGACAGGCCCTCTCAGAAACTCGTTCTCAGGGTCGGCCAAATTTCAAAAAAAAAAAAAAATTATTTTTTATGAAAAAATAGTTTTTTTTTCTAAACATTATAGGCTAAACAAAAAATTTTTACTGTCAATACTTACTGAGATATGGAGGCATGAAGTTTGCCAAAATTGAACAACATCTGGTAACATCGCCGACTGCCGTCACCCGGTATTTTTCTATTTACTTTTTTATGTACTATTTTCAATTATTTTTCAATTTTTCTTTTTCTGAGTAACTTTTATGGCCTCTGAGGCCAACATGATCATTATTTTGCAAGTTATTTCTTTTTCAATACTACACAATAAGGGCGTAAACAGTGTTGTCATTATTTTGTTTATAGAAAATATTTACACAAACAAACGATATGAAATGTTGTTTATTACTATTTTTCTATATTTTATATACACATATACAGTCACAGGGAATGTTTCTAGAAGTTCTGCAGCCTGTGGAAGTCTTTGAAACATGGTGTCATGCACAGTGGTGTTTTGCACTCCTCACACATAAAACGAGTGTCTCTGCGTTGTTGTGGGCGGTTTTTGCATGTGCACAGACGTAACACCTCTTCTGAGCCTTTTTCTTGAAAGCAGTAGCAGGCAGTTTTACCAGGAAGTGATCACCATGCTTCAGACGAGCAGTAGTTGTTGATAATTTGGTGGGCGGTCAATTGCAGGTGCTGTTCCTTGGTACTTGAATACTATATGTCTGATGACAGACAAAGAGAATTCGCTGTACTGTGGTTTGTTTCTGGTCCTCATCTTATACATATTATAAGCATTGAGCATGGAAATATCCAGAAGATGGAAAAAGAGTTTGATGTACCACTTATAACTCTTGCGAACACAATCAGCAAACCCAATCTGCATGTCACATTTGTCCGCTGAACGCATGTTGAAGGTGTAATCAATCACAACTGCAGGTTTTAGAATGGGTTCATTACTCTCTCTATGCTGCCTGCCATTGTCTGCCATTTCATTAGGGTGAACTGATGACAGCAGTGTGACATCTCGTTTGTCATGCCACCGAAATGCCATGATGTCATTGGCAGCAAACACCTGCACCTCACCTCTACGAGTGCCAGCGTCAAACCTGGGCATATGTTTCCGATTTGCACGCACTGTGCCACACACATCTGTCATGTTCACTCACAAAAAATCACTGAGTGAGGGGCTTGTGTACCAGTTATCTGAATATAATATATGCCCTTACCAAGGTATGGTTCTATCATTGTTCTAACCACATCACCTGAGATGCCCAATAACTTCCTGGTATTTTGCAATGTATAACTTCCAGTGTACACAATAATATCCAATACCAGACCACTGTAACAATCACAAAGCACAAACAACTTTATACCAAAGCGTTTCCTCTTGCTTGGTATGTACTGCTTGAAAGAGAGTCTTCCTTTGAACAGAATCAAAGACTCGTCAATTACAAGCTTCCTGAAGGGATAAAAATGTGTACTGAATTTCTCTTTCGATACACAAACACATTCCTAATCTTATATAACCTGTCAGTTCTGTCAGGCCTGGTTTTGTCTGAGAAGTGAAGCATACGTAACATTAGCACAAATCGATTCACTGGCATTATATCACTGAAACCTGGGGTTGCAATCAGGCGGTCTGTTGACCAGTATGATTTCACTTTGTGCTTATACACATGTGGCATAAGCATTATTGTGGCAAAGAAAAGATACATCTCAGCCACAGTTGCCTCCTTCCACTGGTGTAGACGTGATTTTGGTGAAAGTAATGTGTTTGCCATGGTGTACTCGTAGTATGTGTTGCTTTCCATGACAATACTTTCCATCAGGGGTTCGTCAAAGAATAACTTGAAACATTCCAGTTCAGTGGCATTGTTCCCAAGTGTACAAGATGGCTGTATTCCACTTTGGCTGTCATCAAACTGGTGGGCATTTGGAACAAAATTGACAGCTTCCTGCCAATCCCAGGTGCGGTCTGCTGGTGGGTACTGGACAATGACAGGTGGTTGTGGTTGTGGAGGTTGTGGTTGTGGAGGTTGGTGTGGTGGGTGGGTGGGGGATGGTGGCCTTTGTTGTAGATCAGCTGAGGCAGCAGCGTGGGTAGCAGCTTGGGTGGCAGCATGGCCCACTGCTGGTGCCTCACCGCCAGCACCACTACCACCACGCACATTTTCCATCCCAATTGCAACAGTATCATCGTCATTTTCACTGTCTGTTCCTGTTGTACAGCCACGGGATGTATTCCGAGATGCACTCCTTCCCCTTGGAATAGCATATGGCACACTACCAGAGCGCATATATCGTCGTATATACTGACGCTTCACCGGGGAATATTGCACTTCACTATCACTACTGGAACTAGTTTGAAGAGCTTGTAGTTCATATTCACTATCACTATCATCACACATGCTCTCGTCTGAGTCTGGGATTTGGGAAAATAGAAGTTTCCTCTTGGATTCTGGTACAACTGAACGTGAACAAGACGGCCCAGCACCAGAGGTGGAAGGCTGAGGGTCGTCTGGGTTTTCCTCACTATTACCGATATTATGATCATTAGTTTCGGTCAAAACCTCACCAAAACCTTGAAACTCATCTTCACTGGCACTTCCATCTGTATTAGAACTGTCACTGGGGAACAAAAGTGTCCCAATTCGCCAAGGAGTGAGGAGCTTCTTACCGCGAGGCATGGTGGACATTGTTTACTAAGATGGCGTTCCCACAATGCACCACTGGGTCCCAGATTTTTTTTCTACCGCGCACACCGACCACACAGACCCATTCTCTCACATCTAGGCCTACCAGCCTTTTCCCGCGAGATTTGACGGCGCTAGAATTTATGCGTACTAGTACGTCAAAAACCCCTGCGCGTAAGCCGTACTAGTACGTCCGAAACCCTCAAAGGGTTAAAAGCAGTACTGAGGGAGAGAGGCTGAGGTTATTACCTGGAAGTGCTAAACCCATAGGGTCATACAGAATTTGGAGAAATGGGAGGAAATCAGGTTCAATCCAAGGAAGGGGAGCACCCTGCCTGAATCAAGGAACCTTCCTTGAGGGGTCAAGTTAAAGTATGTAGAAGAGAAGGGGCAGGAGAAATATTTTCCAGTAACAGTGGGCTTCATCTTACACAAGGATGTGTGCTATCACAATGGTTACTGTATATATAGATAGGGTTTTATAAGAAGTGAATGCCAGTGTTAGAGAGCAATGCAGGTTTATAAGATTACGCAACTAGTATAAAGTGGGAGTTGTCACAGTTGCTCTTGCTGATGATAAAATAATTTTTAGGAGACTTGGAAAAGAAGCTAGAGACTGTTGTGGGAGTCTGGAAGGGTGTATATGTTATATTTGTGGAGAAGTGCTAAACCTTTAAGGGTCATAGAGTATCTGAAAGGGTGTGTAAAAGAAAGAAGTTCAAAGAGAACATAGGCATGAGTAAAGTGATAAGAGCAAAAAGGCAGTGAAAAACTAGATATGAGATTGAAGGGATGGAGTATGAAGAAAGTGAATGGATCTAGATAGTGTATTTGGGAGTGGATGTGTTGACAGATGAGTCTATAAAAGATGAGGTGAATCATATATTAAAAAAAAGTTACAAATCTGTATTGATCACAGTGAAGTGAATCATATAATCTGAGATAAAGGTGTTAGTACTAGGTAATATGTGAACTTACTGTTTTGCTCTTGGGACACAGTCACTGTGGAGAAGTTTAGGACTTTCAGAGTCTCTTGATGCATCTGTCCTGTGTGGACAGACTGTGTACTTAAATGAAGTACACTGTGTCTTGGGAATGACTGACTTATTTTGGGTATTGTTAGCCAATACTTAAGTTTGGTGTATTGAACACATATTTTTGCATATTCTGGTGTGGAAGAGACTGCATACTTAGTAGTAAGTGGACCTAAAGTATTTAGTGTCGATTAAAATCTATTTTCAGATTTAAAGGACACTGTCTCTGACTGTCTTTTTGATGTTTACCTATCATATGTTGTGGACTTAGTCTTTGATTAGATGGCATCTGCACACATAGGCAATGTGTGACCCTGAGGTAATACACAA